CCCCCCGCCCCCCCGCCAGGAGGGCAGCCCATCTCTCCCAGCACCACACCCCTGCCTGCCCGCCCTCCACAAGCCGCCACCACTCACCGCGGAAGGCGTAGGTCCGCCCAGAGTCGTCGGAAGAGAAGGCCTGGAAGGGCTGCCCACTGCAGCGGTCGTAGGGGCCCCGCCGGGTGGCGTTTTGCTGGACGTCCTGGCCGTGGCCTGGCGGGAGGCAGAGAGGTGCTCGTGGCAGGGACCTTCCTGGGCTGAAGCCGTGTGCTGCGCCCAGAGGCCAATCTGCAGTCTAGGGTGGCAGACCTCTGGTGCTCCCTCTAAGCTGAGTCAGTGTGAGCCAGCTCACAGCTTTTTAGCCTCCAGCTCACAGCTTTTTTGCCTCGGCTCAGGAAGGATGGGGCTCCAGAAGAGCAAACTCATTTATCACCGGCTCACAACTTTAATGCCAGCAGCTCACAAAGCAGCGTTTTTGCTCGCAAGACCCCACAGCTTAGAGGGAGCGTTGGCCCACCCCCAAACTGGGGAAATCCTGGAAATGTGGGGGGGCAACGCGTTTGGGGAGGAAACACAGTGGGGAAATAACCCTCCTCCGAAAGCTGCCACGGCCTCCCAGCGAACTCATCCCTGTCCTTTGGGTATCGGTTGCAATTCCGAGAGATCTCCTGGCCCCACCTGGAGGATGGCACCCTCACACCGTGTCATTGGCTGCTGTGTCCCCAACCCGCTGAAGCGTCTGCGCTGTCTGCTAAGGTGGCCCCGTGCCGTGGGTCCTGCGGTAGTCCAGGCTAGGCAAGTGTGTGCGTGGAGAAAGGCCTGCCCTTCCCAGGAGAGGCCAGCCGCGGGAGGAGGAAGGCGGCTCAGTGGGGGAAAGGCCCTCCTGCCCACCTTCACCCCCCTGGGCCTGCAGAGGCATCTCGGAGGCACCCAAGGGCACACCAGTGGCGGGGGGGGGAGGCACAGCCCCGCCGGAACACGGGTTCCTGGACCAGCACAAAGCTCTCAGGGCGGCTGACCCAAGGTGTACCAAATACACACAGCAGCACCCGCCTCTCATGTGGATTTGTCTCCCATTTAGACAGACCCAGGAGGGCTCCCCGTATTGGTCTGAAGCCGCGGAACAAAGTTAGAGTCCGGGGGGGGGGCACCTGTCAGACCAACGGAGTTTTATTCAAGGTCTAAGCTTTCCTGTGCAGGCACACAGCTCCTCAGAATCCACAGCCACAGGAGGGAACGGCAGCTACAAGCACGGACGGCTTCCAGAGGGGACTGGATAAACATACGGAGCAGAGGTCCATGGGTGGCTATGAGCCACAAGGGACAGGTAGGAATTCTTAGGCTGGGGCAAGGGATGCTCTGTCTTCTTGGTGCTTGGGGGAGGGGGGCAACAGTGGGGGGGCTTCCAGTGTCCTGGCCCCTCTGCTGGACCTGCTGATGGCCCCTGGTATTTCTGGCCACCAAGTGACACAGAGTGTTGGACTGGATGGACCATTCGCCTGCTCCAACATTGGCTTCTCTTATGTTCTTAAAGGAGGGAATTAGATAAGTATATGGAGCAGAAGTCCATCAGTGGCTATTAGCCACAAGGTCTAGGTAGGAACTCTCCATCTGGGGCAAGTGATGCTCTGTCTTCTTGGTGCTTGGGGGGGGGCAACAGTGGGAGGGCTTCTAGTGTCCTGGCCCCACTGCTGGACCTCCTGAATTGAGCGGCCCGTGTGGTCCCAGGTGGTGCCAACTGCTGGAGACGTTGTGGTTCCTGCCGTGGTCCCTGCCAGAGGAAGCTCTCTGGTCACCCCTGTGCCCATTGGACGTCCGCCACGCCAGACCACCCTTCCCCCGGGGCCGGGGGCCTCTCCCGCTCTACCCCCAACCCGCGTCTTCCTCCCGTCCTGATCCTCCCTGCCCATCTCGGAGCTCTCTCTCTCTCTCTCCCCGGAGGCTGGCTGGAGCCCTTCCTGCAGACCCACCACAGACGGAGGGAGCCAGGCCTCCTGCAGGTTTTGGCCACTGTGGCTCAGCCCCACGTTTCCGGCAGGGCCAGGACCCCCCCTCCCTGCCTGCCGGGGCACTCACTTGAGGACGGGGTGGGAGAGCCCCAGGGCCAAGGTCCAGGCCAAGCACAGGGCACCGAGGAGCATGGTGGCGGGCAGGCGGGCCGTGACTAGTCCCAGGCGGCCCCAAGGGAGGAAGGGTGGTTGCTCTTATAGGGAGCGCCTGGAGCATTGCACAACACCCCCCCCCCAGACCGCCCCCCTGCAGGGCAGCAGACCACCGCGTGCTCAAAGCCAGCAGGCCCCTCCTCTGGAGGCCTGGCAAAAGGCCAGGAGGGGTTTTTTCCTGGGGGGGGGTTGGGTCACTGCTGGGCATTTCAGCTTTGTTGGATGCATGAGGGAGTCCGGCTGTCACTTCCTGGCTACGGAGGCGCTGGCTGGGATCACCACACACACACACATTCGGGCACACTCCAAGAAGACCTCCTTGACAGGCAGATCTATGGGCCCTGGGGGGGGGGAAGCCAGGGGGGACAGGCCCAGCGTGCCCCCGGGCGACACGGACCCCAGCCCGAAATTATCTTCTCCGTTCTCCTGCCGGCGTGGCAGAGAGGCTCTGCCGTTCAGCCAAGGTCCCTCCCCAGGGCAACGGGAGAAGGCGTGACTCACCTCTCCCCGGGCAGCGCATGAAATAGTCCCTGGCATCCAGCGGGTAGCGAGGGGGCACATCGCCCGTGGCGGGGTCGAAGCGCAGGAACCGGATGCCCTGGAAGCAGTAGTAGCGCTCCATCCAGCGGAGGGCCGCAGAGCAGTTGGCCACGGCCGGCCACGCCCGCTCCTTCAGCACCTTCGTCTTCAGGTCGTAGGAGAAAACGTGCGGGCCTGCGGAAGGGGGCCCAAACAAGCCGTGAATGACCCCCCCCCTCCATCGCTATTTCAGAGAATCAGAGAGTGGGAAGGGACCTCCAGGGTCATCTAGTCCAGCCCCCTGCACAAGGCAGTGAACCCCCCCCCCAGTGACTGCTGTTCCATGCCCAGATGACAAAAAAAGAAAAACCCTCCAGGATCTCCAGCCAAACTGGCTTGGAGGACAATGGCTTCCTGCCCCCAAAGTGGCAATCGGCATTTCCCTGGGCGTGGAAGGAAGGGCCAGGAGAACCCTAAGCCCTGAGGCTGCAACCCTCCCTGCCCTCCCTTCTCCGGATCTGACTACGGTCACAGACTCCGCATTGCGGCCAGGTGGGCCATCCAGCCTCCATCTGAAAACCTCCAGGGAAGGAAGGAGAGCCCAGCACCACCGCCTCCCTGAGGAACCGCTCCGACTGTCAGGCAGTTCTTCCCTCATTTCTAGCTGAAAACTCTTCTGATTCAATGTCCGCCCGTTTCCTCCTCGCCAGGATTTTTAAACAGTTGTGGGAGTTTGAACTGTGGAAGCCCCCAAGATGGGATGCATCGCTTGGCCTGGCCAGGAGGAGCCTGAAGTCCTACCTGTGCAGGTAGATATACCCGGGGGGGGGCGGGCCCTGGACAGTGGCCCTAAATCCCAGAGGCTCCCGGCCAAGCAGTCAGGGCTGCCTTTGGTCCCAGGGCGGCCTCCACCTGCTGCAGGGCAGTCCGTCTCCCCGCATGGCCTCTCCCGGCCAGTTGAAGGGGCAGGGCACCAGAAGGGAGCCGCAAAACCACCCGCCTCCCCTCCCCTCCCCTCGGGGCTTCCTGCAGAAGTCAGGGGAGGGGGGGCCTGCGGCCCACCCCAGAGAGGAGGCGAGGAACCTCGGAAGGGCTTGGCCACACCACGCCAAAAGGGCTGCCCGCTCTGGCCTCCCGGGCCCACCAAAAGCCCCAGGAAGGCCGTGCCGAGCCAAGGCACGAGGGCCACCCTGCGGTCTCGGGATACGGAGGCTCCGCTTCTCTGTCCTGGCCATGGGCAAGGATGGCAGCTGGGGGTCGCAGTTAGAGGGCAACGGAGGCAGCTGCCCCACAGCCCTCGCAACAGAGGGGGAGGGGGGAAGGAGAGCGGGCTTCTGCCGCCGCAGCCACGGCTCCCGCCCACTCCTTGCTTGGCCCCGGCATGGGGAGGCAGTGACTGGGGGGGGGGCCTTCCCAGGGCTTTTGTCCAGGCCCCAGAGCCTCTTCCAGGAGGCCGCCTGGGGGCGCGGAAGCCTCGGAAGCCGGCAGTGGCTCCAGCAGCACAGAGTGAGCCGTGGCCGATGCCCACGGGCGACATCAGAAGTGGCCAGATCAGCTCACCTGGTCCTGCTGGGCCACGAGTGGCAGGGCCCCCGCCAGCCACCTGCCGTGTGGCGCTGCAGAGCTCCCCCCCCCAGCCGGCCGGCCGGCCCCTCCCTCCCTTTGTGGCCAGTCCCTCCCGGTGCCGACCGGCTGAGTCCCACGGCCAGAGCCCCAGAAGGGAGCTCCTCCAGCCAGCCAGCCAGCCCGCCTGCCCCCCGTCTCACCCTTGAAGAAGAGGACCGTCTCCACCGCACACTCCTTCGGGTGGCACTCCACGGCTGCATCCAGGTCCCCGGGCACCCCTTTGAACTCCTCCTCGATGAGGCGGGGGTAGCCATCCCTCAGCTGGCCGCGGGCGTACGCCCAAACCCGCTTGCCCTGCAAGGCCACCGTCCGTCAGCACGGAGCCAGGGCCGGCCCCAGCTTATTTTGCACCCTAGGCGGGGATCCCTTCTGGCCACCCCCCCACCGGCGCGCCCACCAATTTTCAAAAATAAATGCATTTTAGGAAGAATGAAAAACACAAATAATCAAGAAACTCCCAGAGTACGGGGTGGGTGCAGTTTGGTGCCCTGAAGGGTCGGCCCGCTCTAGGCGATCGCCTAGTCCGCCTAGTGAGTGAGCCGGCCCTGCATGGAGC